AGAGAGAGAGTGTGTGTGTGTGTGTGTGAGAGAGAGAGAGAGAGTGTGTGTGAGTAAGAGAGAGAGAGAGAGAGAGAGTGTGTGTGTGAGAGAGAGAGAGAGAGAGAGAGAGAACACAGATGCAGGAGATGGGGAGCCCAAAGCCTGGGCCCCCAGCACCTGCTAGAGCTACCCCATGATTCCCAGGTGAGTTTAACCTAAAGAGAACCACTCCTACCCCACCCCAATCTATCCCCTGGGATCAGGGTTTTTGTAGTGTTAGGACAAAGCATATGAGGTCCCTACAGGGGACAAAGCATATGAGGTCCGCTGAGCCAGGCTCTGGTGAAGCCTCACCAACTTCAACTCAACCTTCTCATACAGGCACCATGTTCCGCAAGAAAAAGAAGAAACGGCCCGAGATCTCAGCCCCACAGAACTTCCAGCACCGTGTCCACACCTCCTTTGACCCCAAAGAGGGCAAGTTCGTGGGCCTTCCCCCACAGTGGCAGAACATCCTGGACACACTGCGGCGGCCCAAGCCTGTGGTGGACCCCTCTCGCATCACACGGGTGCAGCTCCAGCCCATGAAGGTAATGTGGCCGGGCAGGGGGACGATGGGCTCGACCTCTCTCACATCATAGACAGCCAGGCCTGACACCACCACACTGGCACTTAGGGCAACCACGAATTATCCTGATAACCAGCCTCTTCTCTCCCAGCGTGGAGGGGTATTCCCTTCTGCCAGGTTACCAAATTTAGCAAATTAAGGATGGACAACTGAATTTGAATTTCAGATAATAATGTGTGTGTGTGTGTGTGTGTGTATACATATACATACATACATATATATACATACATACATACACACACACACACACACACATATCCCATGGTGGCACAGTCCCTGGGACTTGCTCTGCTAACCCATTGGCCGAGCCTTTCTCACAGTTCAAATCTATCTTGGATTCTGCAGGGGGAAAAAACGGGTGAATTACAGCCTCAGAAAACTGCTGGGAGGACAGCTGTGAATCTAATCCAACTTGACAGCAATGACTTTGACCTTTCTTACTTTGATCTGGGACATACTTACACACAGCAAAGAATGGCACAGCATTGACAGGGTTTCATTGTTTGTAAATTGAGGATGCTGAGTTGGAGCTGATCCAACACTACTTAACAATAACAACACTTATACTAAAAGTATTTATTGTTCATTTGAAATTCAGATGGTCTCTGTTTATCAGGCAATGGGACTGAGATCTATCTCTAGTTCTCTGTGGGTCTGAAGCCTGTGAGGGGAGATCTGGAGCCCAAAAGGGGTGGAGCACTCACAGACCAGCACAGTGCAGTCACTGGGGTCAAGAAGGCAGATTCAATGCCTGGGAAAGGTTGTGGCACGAAGCCCTGCCATGGTTTGGAGACCGCATGACCAAATGTGTGGATGGGTCCTTATCTCCCCAGAGGTCATAGGTAGAACTAAAGAATGGCAGTCAGTCCCAGGCCCATCCTGGGGGCAGCTGAGCCCACTCTCAGCACCCCAAAACCCAAGCCCATTGCCTTCGAGTCATCTCCAATCCACAACAGCCTCATAGGACAGATTAGGACTGCACGGTAGAGTTACCAAGGCTGTAAATCTTTAGGGAAGTGACTGTCACATCTTCCTCCCTTGGAGCAGCTAGTGAATTAAAGTCACTGGCTTTTTGGATAGCAGCTGAGAAAGAGCTTAAATACTACGCCACCAGGACCCCTTCTTAGCTTCCCAGGCTAGGCTGTTCCCGTTGGCTGGGGTGCTGGGCTGCAACCCAGTGGCTGGCCTGCTAGCCTGATGGAAATGGGCCTTGCATGCATTTCTGTATCTCTGCACCAGCACAGGCCTGGGACCTGGGACAGGGATAGAAAACTAGATGAGTGGATGCACAGCAGAGAAAGGAGGGCTGTGGAGGGTCTACCCTCTAAGGACCAGCCTCCCATGCCCAAGAACGTCTCTGGTTCGGCCGTGAGCAAGTTGCTCACCTTCCTCTTCTCCCCACAGACGGTGGTGCGTGGCAGCTCAGTACCCACAGATGGCTACATCTTGGGGCTGCTCAACGACATCCAGAAACTGTCGGTCATCAGCTCCAACACCCTGCGAGGCCGCAGCCCAACCAGCCGGCGGCGGGCACAGTCCCTAGGACTGCTGGGGGATGAGCACTGGGCTGCTGACCCGGACATGTACCTGCAGAGCCCCCAGTCTGAGCGCACTGACCAACACGGACTCTACCTCAGCTGCAATGGGGGCACCCCAGCAAGCCACCGGCAGATGCCGTGGCCCGAGCCACAGAGCCCACGGGTCCTGACCAATGGGCTGGCTGAAAAGGCACAATCTCTGGGTCCCACTGAGTTCCAGGGTGCCACCCAGCGCTGCCTGCAACTGGGTGCCTGCCTGCAGAGTTCCCCACTGGGCACCTCATCCCCCACGGCCACCGGGAAGCGTGGGACCAAGACTGTCAGGCAAGGCTCCGAGGAGGCCCGGCCACAGTCCTGCCTGGTGGGTTCAGCCACTGGCAGGCCAGGCGGGGAGGGCAGCCCCAGCCCTAAGACCCAGGAGAGCAGCCTGAAGCGCAGGCTGTTCCGAAGCATGTTCCTGTTCACTCCCGGTCTGACCGCAGCCCCTCCAGCCAACAGCAAGCCTGGTCCTCCCGCCCAGAGCAAGGTAGGTCAGCCCAAGCATCCGTCTGAGCTCACTGTCCACATGCAGAGTCTGGTTGAGAGGAGTACAGGGACTGAACTGATCAGGAAACTAGCTCGGCCTAAGCTCAGGCTTCTGCTCAGAACCAGCCAAGACCACCATCTTCAGAGGCTGAGCATGTGAGTCCAAGGTTGCAAGCTGGCTGCTTACCAGATGGGGCCTTGAAGGCTGTGCTTTGCCCTCCGAGAGTGTCTAGGCCACCACACTTGGAGGCAGACACCTCCCTGAAAAGCAGCGCTGTGAACCATGAGCCCAGAGCAGATCTCCCCTGCCCCGAGTGACTGAGAATCCTCTCCAGGCCCCTGCAGAGACAGGCCTCCAGCTCCCTGAAAGAGTGTCTCCCTGCCTCTTCTAGAAGCCTGGCCCTCTCCACGCCTCCTCGTCCCAGTGCTCTCCTGAGCACCTATAGAGAGGGCTTCTTGCTAGGATGTAAGCAATTCTCATGTGCCACATCCTCAAATAAGGGTTCCTTCTTTCTTTCCTTCTTCCCTTGTTATCATACTTATTTTATTATTTCTTTAAATATTTATTCTCAGATTTGTGTCTTCTGTGTAAAGCTAGTGGCCCAGTGGTAAAGAGTTGTGCTGCCAACCCAAACGCAGCAGTTCAAATCCACCAGCTGTTCCATGGGAGAAAGTTAGGCAATCTCCTCCCATGTGATTGATTGTAAACCCTGTGGAGGGTCAGCTATGAATTGGTTCCAACTTGACAGCATGTAACAACAATGATGACAAGCTCGAGGCTTGTGTTTGCCTATTTCTGGCCTTTTTGGGCAGCTGCAAGTGCACATTTTCTATGAGAGAAAGGAAACAGTGAATGGAGCCCTAGTGGTGACATGTCTGCACTTGGTCTGTGACATCCTGTCCATACTGACAGTATTCATTTCCCCATGTGGCAGATAGACTGACTCAGAGAGGAGAGGGGTCATGAGGCTGTTCTGTCCTCTCAACTTGCTCCAAAGGACAAGGCTTCAGAACCTCATAGCCACTGTTCTCTAGCTCTCTAAACTGCAGGCAGAAATAAGTGCAGACGACAGCACGGGACTTTTAGGTCATTCTTGGGATAGAGCTGCCTGACAGTGACATGCATTCTCAAGCCTCCCTCTCTAGGGGGCTTTAAGAATGAGCCTGGATCTCTTCTGTGCGATGGTGTGAGTGTGGTCTGACTCAAATGAGACGAGGGCAGCAATATGGACCTAACAATCTTCCGAGGCCCCTGGGAGCTGGAGTCTGTAGCACTGAGGGCCAGTCAGCCCCTGGCCTCACGCACTCCAGCTGGCTCCACTCTCCCGTGGGGACAGGACAGTGGACTGAGAGCTGCCATGGGGTGAGGGCGGGAATGAACACGTGCACTGTGGCTGGATGTGTCCTGTGAGCAGCACACGTGTCTGTGAGCTGAGGTCTGTAGGTGGCTATGTCCCAGGGGAGCTAGTCCCTCACGGAAAGCTGGGGTGCAAGCAGGGCAGTGTGTGCTTTAAGGGAGGCCCCTCGGGAATCCTGTTGGGTAGAGTTCAGGATTTGGACAAAGTGGGTGTCCACCTTGAGCTGAACTTCCACCGCTGCCCCACAACAGGGGAGCAAGTCCATCCACCCAGCTTGTCCACCTGTCTGTCCAGCTCTTTTGTGAGTACCACCAGGCAGTGCCGCTGGGACGTGATGAGGTATCAGGTAGTGGTGTCTCATGCTAAGAGAGGCCAGAGTTCCAGGGGAGTGGTTTCCTTGTCAGTACCTGAACCATACCAGTAAATATTCCCAGGGAGACTCCCAAGAAAAGCAGGGCTGAAACCCCTGAGTTCTCATGTCGAGTGGGATTCTTTGCTGTGGGGCTGTCCTGTCCATTGCAGGACTACCAGACTCACGAGATGCCAGAAGCTCCCCCTCCCTGTGACAACCAGAAATGTCTCTGGGGATTGGCAAATGCACGCAGGAGGACAAAATCCCTCCTGCTTCAGGCAAATCCCAACTCAGAGGGAGAGTTCGGGTCCAATCCTCTCTCTGTCCCCCATGCTACACCAGGAGCCCTCAGACCAGGCTGTGTCCCTGTGTGCTGTGGCACAGCTGCAGGGGTTGGTGGTGAACCCTGACATGCTTCCCCCCAGCAGCTTTGAGACTCTATGCTGTGGGAGGCGAGGAGTGTGCTCCTGCGACTCAGCCCCAGGCACCTTGGCCTGCATTGAGCTAAAGGGCCAAAGAAGATCCAGAGAATGGTGGGGGACAAAGAGGTAAAGCTGCATAATTACGTGTTTGGTGCAAAGGTTAAAAGTGGCTTGACTTAGAGTCAGAAAGGGCAAATCAGAACTCAGCAATCGGCAAACGTCAGTTCAGCACCTGCTGTATAATCATGTGGGATGTCCTCTGTTAGGACCTAAGGATGGACGGCATTAACAGGACCACAGCATAGCCATCTGAGGTCAGGCTGGAGGGGCTGAAGCCTGGCTCTGCCCCTGCTGTCTTGTGACTCAGGGCCAAGTTACTTAACCTCTCTGAGCCTATTTTGTCATCTACAAATGAGGAAAATAATAGATTAATTGGCCCAGTGACTGCAACGATGGCTTAATTTGCAGAGATTGTGAGGTTGGTGCAGAATCGGGCGAGGTTAGTGCAGAATCAGGCAGCTTAAACCAGGTTGTTGTGAGTAGGGTCACTGTGGACTGGAGCTGACTCAAAGGTGCCTCAGCAACATCTCATTTCAACTGTGAGAATGAAATAAGGACTTGCCAAAGTGTTACATCCTCGATAAATAGCATCCTTTTAAAGACTGTTCTAATGTTATGACATGGCCTTTGTCTTAGAGTGCAACCCCAGGCTCACAGCTTGGAGAGCCCAGGAAGGACACCTCTAGTGGCTTCCTTCCCAAGGCGTGGTCTCAGTCACACAAGTAACTCCAGAATTAATCCTGAACCCCTGGTAATTAACACCATCTTGCACTCCCTTCCTCTTTCTTGAGGTGATTTAACAAGTTTTGTCTGGACCTTTCTTGTGGTCACCCAGTATGTAGAAACCCCCATCCTATGGAGACAAGCAGCAAAGCCAAGCTGGGTGCAATGGGGCCAAGCCTGCTGGAGTAAAGACTGAGCTTTCCTACCCCTCCGCCCCACATTCCACAGATGGTGGTGTTGGGCTTTTGCTGGATCCCCATCTTTGGTTACTTCTGTCCATGACCTGCCCCAGCCTGCAGGATCCAGCTCTGTCTCTGAGCTCAGTGGATGCCTGGGGTAATGTTACCTCAGGGGTCTTGGTAGCGGGCAGAAGAGGGAGTTCCCCAGCTCATCCAGGAGGAGAGGCAATCATTTTATAGCCTTCCATTGAGACTTCAGAGTAATGAGAAGCAAGCTCAAGAACAGCTTTGCAAGTCCTCACGTCCTGCCCCACTCCCACAGATGCACATTTTCCGAGTTAATTGTACCACTTGCAGGCCAACAGGCAGCCCCCCAGGCCCTTGGTCTTGGAGAGGTGTTTAGGGTCTATGTTCAAGATCATGGGGAGCCCACCCCCACCTCCCTCTCCTTCCTTGTCCAGTGCTATCTCAGTTCCTGAACCTGGGCATCTTATCGAGCCCTACCCTCCCAGAGGCTTCCTGAGCTCAGAGTCACAAGTCTATCTCTCTAGAGTTCCCAAAGTGCTCCTATGTCAGAAATCCAGGGGCAAGATTATCAGGCAGACCATACTCTAGGAACTTGGGAATCTGCATTTATCCAATTCTCCTGAGTTTACTGAGGATGGCTTCCAAAGTGGCATGCTACAGGCTCAACCCAGGCACAGCGGAGCCATGGCAGGACTCCAGGTCTCCTGAACCCCAAGTCCAGAAGGACCCCACCACCCAGGGAGGGGAGGATGCTAGGCTGGTTAAGACATGAAGGAATCACGTCCAAACATGTCCTCCATGATGGACTAAGGTCAAGGGATCCCTGCTTCTGTCTCTGCAGATTGAGCCAAAGCCAGAGGTGGACAGCAAGTGGTGGGCAGAGGGGCATGGGAGAGGTTCTCAGCGGGCAGTGCCATCCACATGCTGAGCCCAGGGCGGGGCCTGGAGGTCGGCAGCTAAAGACTGAGAGTGAAGCCCGATGCTGATGGTGCTGGAAAGGCTCTGGCTGAGCCTGTATGGCAGGAGGCAAAAGTGTGGGTCTCTGAGCAGCAGCCCATCCCAGGGTGAAGGCACAAAGAGCTGCTGCCCTGGAAATTGATTCCTCTCCAGAGACCAGGACGAGGGCCCACTGTGATGCGTTCTGGAAAAGTTCTGAGACAGGCTCCCTGTAGTCCCTGGTGTCCATCCTTATTTATAGTGTCCTTTGTTATAGATGGTCTTTTCGAGTGCCCTTTTAAAAACAGATGGTCCCTGGGAGGGGTCCCACTGTACATCACCAACACTTTGGAGAGAACCCTAGGATGAAGTCTTCTCCTGCCACATCAGCAGGAGGGTTGGGCTTAGAGAGCTCAGGAGCCTTGCTGACTTCCAAGGGTGGGCTTGAGGCCTGAGCAATTCCTGGGGACGCAGGATGCCTTTCCTCCTTTGCTGGGGTGTCATTACCTCAGTCAGAGCAGCCTCTCTAGAAGCTTCATGCTGGGAGGGGGTAGGCATCTCTGGGAGGCTTTTGACACTGAGGCTCTGATGTGACCTGGTCCCTCCCTCCTCACCAACACTGGGTTTGGCTGGGCCTACCCTCCTGACTTCAGGGCCCCACCAGCCCAGGGCTAGTTCCGTAGAACACTCCAGCTGGGACTGGGACCATGACTCCTTAGCGCTCTGCCCAGACCTAATCTCACAGCCCAGGCGCACAGCATTGGCTCCCTGCTGTCAGGTACAAGTACTGGCAGACCCAGCCTGACTTTCCTGCCTCAGTTCTAGGGAACAGATACAGCTGACCTGCTTGCTGCTCCCCACTCCCTGCCCAGGCTTCTTCCTCTGATGAGTCCGGTGAGAAACCTCTGACCTGATTCCCTGTGTGGCCGCAGCACAGGGGGAACACTCTCACTCCCTGTAGCCTGTCAGGGTCTAGTCATCAATGCCCAGGAATGACACAGCCTGAGGACACCTGGGGGTACGGGGCCTGCTGAGTCTTCCCAGGACAGCAGGGGATGGAGAGAGGCTTCTGCTCACTGGAACATTCCTTGGAGACTGGTTTTCTGAACCTGAGTCAGATTTGGCGTCAGTCATGTGAAAACTCTTTGCTCACAGAACCTCCTCTCTTTGAATGGACGCTCTATCGGACTTGCCAACATCCTGCCGTCACCTGGGGCAGGTTTCTCTAAGCATTTCCAGGCCAAATTATTTCTTCTGTTTCTTTATCTCCACAGCCCAACTCCTCTTTCCGACCACCACAGAAAGACTCCCCCCCAAGCCTGGTGGCCAAAGCCCAGTCCCTGCCCTCGGACCAGCCTGTGGGGAACTTCAGCCCTCGGACCACCTCAGACACCAGCAGCCCCCAGAAGTCCCTGCGCACAGCCCCTGCCGCTGGCCCGCCTCCAGGCCGGTCTTCCCCAGCCGGGTCCCCCCGCACCCGGCATGCCCAGATCAGCACCAGCAACCTGTACCTGCCCCAGGACCCTGCGGTGGCCAAGGGTGCGCTGGCCAGTGAGGACACAGGCGTGGTGACGCATGAGCAGTTCAAGGCTGCACTCAGGATGGTGGTGGACCAGGGTGACCCCCGGCTGCTACTGGACAGCTACGTGAAGATCGGCGAGGGCTCCACGGGCATCGTCTGCCTAGCCCGGGAGAAGCACTCAGGCCGCCAGGTGGCCGTCAAGATGATGGACCTCAGGAAGCAGCAGCGCCGGGAGCTGCTCTTTAATGAGGTGGGAGGAGAGGGCTAAACATGGGAGGGGCGCTGGCATGGGCAGTGAGCCCAGATCCAGGCCAAACATCTGCAGGCACGGGCAGCGGGTGGCCAGGCCTCTTGGGCACTGTGCCCAGCACTCAGCCACCCCCTGCGCCCCCAGGTGGTGATCATGCGGGACTACCAGCACCTCAACGTGGTGGAGATGTACAAGAGCTACCTAGTGGGCGAGGAGCTGTGGGTGCTGATGGAGTTCCTGCAGGGCGGGGCCCTCACCGACATCGTCTCCCAAGTCAGGTGGGCATTTGGGAGGATGGGGCCCCAAGAGGTGGCATTCACGACTGTCCAGGAAGGGTTACCGGGCAGCCTCTGGCCCAGAACACCTGGGGGTCCCCGTCAGATCATCCTGAGCCCTGCTGTTTGGGGTCACAGAGATCAGGAGTCTCAGGAACATGGGGAAGTGTAGAGGGTCTTCAGCTTAGGCCTGTTTCCACCGAGGCCGTGGCCTGGCCAGGCTGCTGAGCATGTGCCATGGGGCAGAGGGGCCATTCTAGCAACACCTTGCCTTCCCAGCCCAGCTGCGGTCTAACCAGCCCTCTTTCCCTCCTGGCCCTGCCTTCCTGACCAGGCTGAACGAGGAGCAGATCGCCACTGTGTGTGAGGCTGTGCTGCAGGCCCTGGCTTACCTGCATGCCCAGGGGGTCATCCACCGCGACATCAAGAGTGACTCCATCCTGCTCACCCTTGATGGCAGGGTAGGCAGTTCCTGATCCCTGCACACTGGGCCCCCTCCCCTGCCCCCAGCCTCACTCTTCCAACACTCACTCCCCTTTTTACCACTCACCCAACCCCCAGGTAAAGCTCTCAGACTTCGGGTTCTGTGCTCAGATCAGCAAAGATGTCCCTAAGAGGAAGTCCCTGGTGGGGACCCCTTACTGGATGGCTCCTGAAGTGATCTCCAGAGCTCTGTATGCTACTGAGGTAACCACCCCCCCAAGCCCCTTCTCCCAGGAGGTGCTTGGAAACACAGTTCTTTCCCTTGTGGCCCCCCCACCAAAAATAGTCCTGGTTCTCAGATGTGCATTTAGTACCCTCCCACTGCCCTGGTCCCCTTGTAAATGGGACTGCTCTCACCTGTGACTGTTTCCAGGACCATGTCCCAAAATTGCTCTTCAAAGCTCCAGAGCAGTGTGGGGCATGGCTACGCTTTTCTCTGTGTATTAGCCCTTCTCAGAGAACAGCTGCCAGCTGTGTCCTTACAGTTCATGGTCATGAGTGTAAATGACCACAGGCCAGGAGGAAAGAGATCAACTCAACAAAGAGCTGAAACCAGCAGCTCCCCTCCTCCAGACTCCAGCTGGTGGAATCAGGGATATTCTCTCCCTGCAGGTGGATATCTGGTCTCTGGGCATCATGGTGATTGAGATGGTGGACGGGGAGCCACCCTACTTCAGTGACTCCCCAGTGCAAGCCATGAAGAGGCTCCGGGACAGCCCCCCACCCAGGCTCAAAAACTCTCACAAGGTCAGTCGGTGCACACAGGTTGTGAGCCCTGCTGACTACATGCTTCCTGGGGCTCAGAAGGCAGGAGTGTGTGCTCCCAGTCGGCATCTGCTTCACACAGGGCCGGAGGGTCTGGGCTCCCAGGTCATTCTCCATGCAAATCCTACGCCCACATGTGGAGCTGCTCGTGCTGCAAACACCCAGGTTCATAGCAGGTTTCCCACCTGCAGCCGTAGCAGTATAGTCACTCTTCAGAAGGTAACTGAGAAGAGCCCAGAGTCTGATGAGAGGGGAAGCACAGATACCAGCGAGCCTAACGTCCCCGGGAAGAATCCTTATAAGCACAACCACTGTCCACATTTGTCAGCAGTTCATGGCATAGCCCTGTGCTCCGCTGTTCTAGACAGTCCATCTGGTCCTCCATTATTGCACATCCCGACTCAAGTCAGGCTTTCCCTTGAAAGCTTGAAAGCCCTGAGAGTGTGTGTGTGTGTGTGTGTGTGTGTGTGTGTGTGTGTGTGTGAGAGAGAGAGACAGACAGACAGACAGACAGACAGACAGACAGACAGACAGACTGACTGACACCCTTCTCTGCCAAATCCACGCAAAGGCAGGCCTACTTTGTAGACCCCGCCTACTGGCAGCCCACTAAGCACAGGGCTGCAAAGACGCACTGCCATCTGGTGGTCACAGTGAGAAATCCCAAAGGATTGGACGCCCAGTCCCTAAATGGCAAAATATTCCCCCATCATAGCAAACCAGCTGGACCCAAACATACCAATGTGAGCCCTGGCAGAAGTCCCTCTAGAGACAACTAAACTGACCACTGATGGCTCTTGGAGTTCACACAGCTGACCCCACGATAAGCAGGGAGGGGAAACCTCTGATTGGCTAACTCATGCCTCCTTGTATGTCAGGCCAAGTCTCAGCCTCATCCCAAAATACTGGCTCAAAATTCATTTAAGACAAGGATTTACTTTAGAGACTAAGATTTAGAGAAGGGGGAAAGAACCCCAAAACAAACCTGCCTTTCCTCAAGCCCCATCTTTTTCTACTTTTCAAAGCATGCCGTCATTTCTATTTTAATTTCACACACTCACACCCCCTTCACTTAAAGCTCCATTTGGCAGATGGGGAAAAGGTACTTTATTACTAGTCTGTTTTGCAGATGAAAAAACTGAGGCCTAGGGAAAATTTGCAGTTTGCCTGAGATAGGGATATAGACTCAAGATTAGGTTACTAGACACCAATCCCAGCTTCCTTCCACAAAGCAGGAACACTGAGTTCTGAGAAGCAGGGGTTAGGAGAGTGGACTGGGTTTAGAACCCAGCTCCCCAGCACGCCAGCATCTTTATTTCATTGCTTGGGACCATCCCCTAGAAGCACAGTGGCCATATTTTGTGATGCAGACTTTACCTGATCTCATAATCCAAAAAGGACTGAGCCTGGGATTGTTGTATACCATCAAGTCAGAAATGACCTTAGCTGGTTCTCCAGCAGGTTTTTAGAGGCAGTAAATCGCATGGGAGGAGACTGCTCATTTTTCTCGCACAGAGCAAGTAGACATGTCTTCACAGGTCTCCCCAGTGCTACGAGACTTCCTGGAGCGGATGCTGGTTCGGGACCCCCAAGAGAGAGCCACGGCCCAGGAGCTCCTGGATCACCCTTTTCTGCTGCAGACGGGGCTTCCTGAGTGCCTGGTGCCCCTCATCCATCTCTACCGCAAGCAGACCTCCACCTGCTGAGCCCACCTCGGGGTGCACCTGACACCTGTGTCCTCAGGCAGGGGACACCAGATGGCCAGCCTGCTGGCACTGCCTCATTCTCTCAGTATTCTCTCCAAAGATTGAATGTGAAGCCCTCCCCTCATCCTCCTGCCCCTCAGCCCACTGGGCCAGGCCGGACCTGCCCCCCCGGTCTCTCTCCCTCCCCACTGCCTTTGGGATGATAGAGACCCCTCCTGCAAGATGACCCTTTGTTATTTGCACAGGGATATTTCTAAGAAACATGGAGACCAGCGCTCCTGGCCACCATGGCCAAAGCAGCAGGCAATTGCTGCTGCAGTTTTTTAAAGGTAGTACCCTAGCAACCCAGGACCCCCAAGGGGGCAGACTACCTGTCTTCACACATCAGATACTTGCTGTTCTCAGCTCCAACTCCAAATCCTGGAGTCTTCTGAGAGGGCCGCAGGGAAAGTTTTTATTGCCTGGATCCTTCTCCCTCCCTTGTGTCTAACTTTCTGAAGGCACAGTCCCCCTGGAACCCCCCCTCCTGTCCCATTTCACTGACATACGTGCTCCCTCTCCCTCCCACAGCCTGCTCGGAGCTGGCCAACAGCCTGCTCGGAGCTGGCCAACAGCCTGCTTATAGGTCACAAGAGGGGAGGGGGGCATTCTTGGGTGAAAGAATGAGGATGGTCTTACTTTTGAGGATGGAGAAGACATTGTATGTGTTTGTGTGTCTGTGTCTGTGTCTGTGTCTGTGTGGGGGTACATACATAAAGGGGAGAAGGTCACCTCATCAGCCTGAGCCCCTTCAGATCATCCACAGTCAGTGTCAGTAAGGCTGCCCTGGCCCCTCCACTAAGTTCTGCTCTGAAAGGACCTACACCTACTCTCTTGGACTGCCTTGCTACTTCTTAAGTCCTCTGTTTTCAATTAATAAGGCTGAATTGGATCTAACACATCCTGGGGTTCAGGGGTTTTTCGAGTGGCTTCCAGCATTGTTTCTGAGTTTTTTCCTGTCCTGTAGAGTCAATCTGCGAGTCAGACAAAGGTGGGAAGGAGACTGAAACTTGCTGTACCAGTGAAGCTCATCTCAATAACGAGGTCATCAGGGACTCATTCTTCTCTTCAGAATCTTGTTCTGGGGAACCAGTGTTGGGGGTCCCATCACATCACACCATCATCCCCCAGCTGCCTCCTCAGACACCTGTCTCCTTGTCCTCCTTCCCTCCCCACCTTCAGGGCATCTAGGAGACAGGAAATTCCAGGGAGGAACTTCAGGTGTCCAGACCCTAACTAGAGAATATTTTTAGATTCCTCTGCTCCCTAGTGGCCTGCTTTGGGGCGAAACATTGCCAGGACTTTTTTAAGGGTCAGCATTTTAAAAACAAAAGCATCTTCCCTAGAAACTTTTGTGAATTGTTTGCACTTGTGCCTGTTTTAAATTAAACTGAGTGTTCAAATACCCAGAGTTTCCTGTTGTCTTTGGAGAGAAGCCAGGCAGCCTTTGAGCTCAGCATGGCACCGTCCAGCCAGGTGTCTGTCCCCTCTCCCCAGTGAGCTCCCCAGGATAACTGGCCAGCAGAAAAACTTGGCTCCCGGGTGGGTGGTTGTGATGTGTGGGGACTGAAATGAAAGCAGAGACGAGGGAAACAGGAAGTGAACGGCCCTTGGGAGTGAAGGGTAGGAGAACTAGACAGGGCCCCTTCCCCGGATAGGCCAAGAAGGGGCTGTGTGTGCCACACCTCTGGGGCTCTGGGGTCCCTTTAGACAATGACCACTCTCTGCACCAGATCACCAGATTCCTCCTCCTGTTTGCTTCTAAATCCCTGGAAAGTCAGAGTGGTTCTCCTTAACTCATTCATAGGAAGCCTGAAACTGTTCCACCCAGAGCAACATCTGTTTCAGCTCTCAGAACTGAACAGTGTAGAGCAGCCGACAGTGTAGATTTGTAAAAAGTGCAGTGTAGCCCCAGGAAACCCAAAGATATGGGGCACAGTCCCCAGGAGGTGGATGGCATTGTCTTTAAACTTCTAATTTTGATTCCATTCATTCCTTTGTGATTTCATCCTACCTCCCAATGAGGGTTCATTGCCACATCTTAGCCTGGCAGACCTAGCATTTCAACATAGCATTTCTGCATCAACAGCTCCCTCCACCATGGTTCCCGAGTTACCCACAGAGCCTGTGACTTAAGTCACAGGAGAGGTTGGAAAAGGCAAAAAGGCATTAATTCTCTCAACTGAATAACACTGGATTTATTTACTATTCTTTTGAGTTCTAATTGACCTTCCACCAAACAGCATCATTCCAAAGAACTATGCATACATCATTTAGCCTCATACTCAGATCCATTCTGAGCTTGAACTCCAAGCTCCAATGGCCTGGTCAACTTCACAAGGATGAAAGCAACAAGCACTGGGTAAGCAAAAATGTTTCGAAAAAAGTTTCATATAAAGTGGAGCGGTCTGGTGAGGATCTCAGCCTCCGTAGCCTTGGGCTGCTATGAGAAGTGGGGAATAGAGAGTGGGGCCTGGCAAGATAACTATATTAACAAGCCAGTCGAACAGTTTGAATCTGACAGGAAAGATGTACAGTTTTTTAGAAACGTCACTTCAACAACCAACTTCTTGGTAACTCCACTAGAGAATACTTCATGGTTGTTTCTTCAACAAAGGAGATGCAAGGTGACATTCAACAACAACAAAAAAAAAAGCCAGACATCAGCAACACTAGAAAGATGACAGCACCTTCAACATACTGTACACCCCAGCCTCCAAGGTGTGTGTAAGAAGCCAAAATATACATTCGTACACCATTTAAAATGTCATAAAAATTAAACACAATTGAAAAGGGAGTAAGTGGGCAAGCAAGGGTCAGAAAGAAGCCATTTGCACTTGGGATATCCAGCAGTCCACCCCACACTAGCCCATCCCTCTGGTTCACTAGGCATTTACTGACAATAGGACTGGGGAGAGGCAAGTGACTTTGAGGTGAAGGCGGCAACACCCCAAAACGGAAGCAAATACTATCAACTGAAAGCAGTGCACGATGGATTAGCAAGCCCCAAGGTTTAGAAACCATTAAGGAGGGGTTGGCAGCTCCGGTATATCGAAGGGCAGGACCTCTCTGGTGGTGGAGATGTAACTACGAAGGCCTTGAGGTTCTTAGTGATGGGGCTGGCTCCTGCTATTCCAAACACAGGGATTTTTGTTGTTCACTGCCCCTTACTTCTGTGGAATGACTTCAAGTATCCGGATTTAATGTTCTACGGGTGGAAAAGGAGTCCATGAGTAAAATACACACAGAGGGTAAAAGTACAAGTTATCCCAAGTAAATCCAGAAGTCTGAACGTAGAGCCAAGGAGCAGCAGGGAAAGCGGAAGACCGCCACGAGGGGGCAGCAGAGAACATGTCCAGAGTGCAGGCACGCGCGGCTTAGCCGACCTAGAGGTGGAAGGATTGCGGACGTAGGTGTCTGACACCTGCACAGACAGGGCCCGCTCCCAGAGGAGCACCCACCCCGCCTCTAGGGCCAATTTCTTAACAGCGAGTAATTCTCTTGGAGTTACAAGTGTGAAAGTGAAACCAGTTCCGAAAAAAAAAAACCGATGTCTTGGGGAGAAAAAGACCCTAGAGCAGACAGGTGAGGGGGCGCAGGCTCCACCTTCGAAATTCACAGTGACTCTAAACGCGGCTACTGCTTGTGCTGGGTCTACAGACACGTGTGCTGACACTTCTGCGGGGTCCTAGCGCCTGCGATCGTTTACTTCTCTCCCTCCCCCACCCCACTAGAACCGTCACAAAGAGAAGGCGGGCGGAGGCGGGAGGGTGGGGACCAAGGACCGGCAGAAAAAGGGCCTTTCACAGCTCTCGGCTGTTCTTCTGACTCACTAATCTGCCCAGTAAAGAAAGCTGGGCCGGGCCTGCGTCCCACGCAGTGGGACAGATGCAGGGGTCCCCCCTGGTCTCGACCTCTAGAATCCATCATCCGCCCTGCCCACCATTAACGGCCCAGCAAGAAGCAACTGCCGTTTTAACAAGCCCCTTCCTGCTCTCGCCGGGAGTTTGATGTAATTTAAACCCGGACCTGCGGCTCGTGTGGGCTCTGACTCCCGCGCGCACCGTTAAACGTGGCAAACACTTCAGTCAATTATCCCCCTCGCGGAGCTTCTATTTAAAGAGACATTGTTAGGTTCTTAAGCCTCGGATCAGACCTGCTGCTTTCTGCTTTATAGACACGAGTTCTTTGAGGATTGGAGGAAACACAATTAAGCAAAAGCCTTCGCAACCGGTCTACCCTGCGGGTGCACCCACGTGCAGGCCAGGGGAGCTGGGAAGCGGTGAGGGAGGGGGAAGAGCTAAAGCTTTTCCATTTCAAGATTCTGGGAGTGAGTGGAAATTAAGTAAGGCCTGGCCACGAGGGGATGGGACCTGTAGCTGGTGTGGCAGCAAGGGATGGACCTAAAAGCCGAAACTTAAATCCAAATCAGTTGAGAAAGCTGACTTGAGGCTGGAATTTGGCAGAGAATGGGCAGAACTGGTATGGAACCTCTTGTCGGCAATGAAAGCTGAATCCTGGGTCAGCCTGGGGCAGTGAGAGTTAGAATCGACTAGAAGCTGGTTCAAGTGGCAAACGGTGTTCAACTGCAGAGGCTCTGCCAACCCCCTAAATCTGTGTTCTTTTCTTTAAATCAGGAGGGTTTATCTAGCAGAGAAAAAAGAAAAATCAAACAAAACTTAAATGCAGATTCCTTCCCAATAAGTCTTCCGATCCAGAACTCTTGAGAGGAAGAGAGACAGGGAGGTTGTGGCATAATTGTCAGTAGACCTCAGATGGACCTCAGGACTCATGGAAAGGCCACGTTAGTTCCACAAAGCTGACTTTTTGGCGGACCTGGCTGTCAGTGTGTTGGAGACCCCACCTTGGGGAAGGATATCAGGAAGAGCTCTTAGGAAGCTAGGTCGGCCCAGGCCTAGAAGGTAGTCCAGGATTGGGCATCAGGGCTGGGGCAAAGAGGTCCATCTTCCTGGCTGACAGCCTCTCTCTATCCTATAGAACCAGCCTTCTACCCCTTGTCTCCCAGGGACAGGAAAGTAGGGAAGGGAGAGGCAGCGAATACCAAAGAGCACAAGTAAGAAACAAGATGGGGATTCTTCTCACAGAGGACAGGCCTGGCTTTCGGAGTCATACAGGTTCTGGGAACAAGGGCAGGAGAGCATCCAGGAATTGAGGGACCTGGAGACAAAGGGGCAATCCCAGTAGGGCCGAGTTGGGAGAGACAGGAGGACCTTGGAGCAGAGCCGTTTACCGCTGGGCTTGCAGCACCACGGCCTCAGTGCCATCCTGCCAAGGCTGTGGCCCCGGCACCGAGACAGGTTGGGCATTGGCTTCTACTTCCGGGCCGCTTTCGGGCCCTGATGCCTCCCCCACCAGACTGGGGATGTCTGGGGCTGTAGAACGTCTGCGCAAAACCAGGCGACCCGAGCCGGGACCGCCCTCGGGGTGGGGGCTAAGGCCAATGGGGGCTTGCACTGAGGTCGGAGGCGCGCCTTCTAACACCTCATGAGAGCGCCACCGCCCAGTCCCCGAAGACTGGGGTGAATGTGGTCGGACCATGAGAGCCCCAGCCCGCAGGCGAGCCGCCTCCTCCTCGGTCACGGCACCTAGTGCCAGGCTCATGCTTCGGCCCAACTCGGGTCGCTCGCTGCCCTGCGACCGGTGCCGGCCCGAACCCTTTACCCCTGACCCTGTCTCCCCGCTGTGGCCTCCCGCAGCTCGCGCAAAGCGCGCCAGGAGAGGCCGCGGGAGGCGGCGGGGGCTGGGCCGTCGGCGCTCCGG